AACAGGTGTTGGAGAGTGGATTTTCAATCAAATCTTATATGCTCGACGTTATTATAGAGTTTGTATCGTTATTTTCTTAATTTTAGAGATATAAGAAGAAAACGCTTTTATCCTTTTATTGGCGACAAAACTTTGCTCGTTTACCTCGGCCAGCGAGAGAGGAAGAAGAAGAAAGCGAAAATTCTTTTATAAAAGCTGAGAAATTGCTTTGAACTTTCCCGAGACTTTTGAGACTTGTCTCTATCCTCGTAAGCGAATCCACTGCATTTTAACCCTTCTTTAATTAACGAAAGCATATACCGTTCTCCTCCAGTATATAAAGAGACGAGTTCTTCTCCTCCTCCTCCTCCTCCTCCTCCTTCTTCTTCTTCGTTCTGAGATATTATTCTTTCTCCCCGAGAAGGGAAACGTTTGAACGAACCGTTTCCTCCACGCCAAGCGTGCTTTCCTAATTTTTCTCAAACCAAAGAGCCAGCTAATTAGAACGTTACCACGTTTTCTAATTAAAATGTACACGCTACGACGAGCTCGTCGGCGAGATGATAGAAACAACTGCCACCGCCCCCGTTGGCGAGGATTCAAGGTTCCTCAAGAATATATCAGAGCCCCCGTTGGCCCGAGTTCAATATCAGGCGCGCGAATCGAATTAGACCAAGGAATCGAAATAACATTCCGTTTAAAAACATCTCCCTCTGTTATACACATTGTGACATCTTTAATACCAAATTGGAATAGCCGAAATAAATTTACTACTCCCTCGAATGTCCCTCGAAACTCGTTTACCATTAGCCACCCTACGTAGCCCTTCCATAATAACAGTATAACAACAATTGGCAACGGATTAACATCTCGAGACGAGAAGAAAAAAGAAGAAAGCCGTATCTCTCCTCGAGGATCCTCTCCTTCGAGACGCTGCTCCTCTCCTCCACGCATCGCGATCCCATTGCAGCTACGTTAATACGTACGCAAAAAATCCCTTTTTACCCCCTTACGACGAAGGCCGACGAGGTGGACGGACCACGTGTTGAGAACCTTGCCAGTCGTCATGGCAACCCCCGTCCGATCTCACAGACGACGAGCGCACCGCGTTCCTCGCACCCGAATCAGGAACGTAACTTCCGCGTCGTTGGCCCTTTGTTATTCCCGGATCGACCGCCGCTCCGCCA